AATAGCAAAGAAATTACCAATACTCATCAGTATTTTCTTCAATAAAACTTGCTTAAGACTGTTAGTTTAAAACATATGACTGTTCTACCTTTCACATTATTTACTGTACTGCCATCCAGAATAATTAAGTAAGAACACTAATAGGGCAGAGATACAGTTGCTCCTATGTTAACTGGCTATAGGAGGAGACAAAAATGGCTTCTCAGTCAAAATTCAAGAGGAAAGAATTATTGTGGGTGCTACTCTTTATCATATTGGCTGCATAGTTGGGATAGACTTGGACAAGATTTCAGGTATCACAGTACTCTTCCTCTGCAGAGGAGGGGTACTATGATACCCAAAAGCAAAGTCTATCGCAACCATGTAGCTTGCCCAATAAAAGATATCACCCACAAAAATTCTTGCTTCTTGCATGTTTCATGGACCATCAAGACTACAACCTCACTTCAACATTACCTCCTTCATAAAAATAACTTCACTGTGTAAAGGGAAGAAAATATATTCAGAGGACAGTGTATGTTCAATTCTAATTTTTCCTGTTTATGGGTGCTAATCATTTTGTGCTTTTTGTAACCTTTATTAGTTAGCAGATTCATTTATCTGACTGAGAGACTACACAAACTAGGATTAAAACCCAGTTCTTAATTATGTTTGAGTTCTAATTTTGGGGACCATTGATTCACCTCCCAGCCTTGACCAAGTCACTTTGTCTTTCTGTCTCATTTTGTCAATGTTATAGATTGGCAAATTGACTTACTCACTCACATCGAAGGGGTGTTTGTATGAATGGCTGAATAAAAACACTCTGAAAAATCAGGCTGTGAATGTCTCAGGTTGTTCATCCCAATTGAATGAAGACTTTTGTGAACATTGACTTTATCTTAATGTTACTGAGTTTCTTCCTCATCAACAGGGATCCTGGTTTTCTCTGATTAAAAAAAAACCACCCCAATTTTTGCTTTTAAAAAAGTAACCAACAGCTGGCTTAGACTCTACATCTTCTGATTTTATCATCAACTGGTTGATAAAGATGTAAGGATCTCAAGAGGACACAACTCTCCACTGAAATCCAGTCAATCCAATTCTGTTTTTTGCAGTATTCCTGTCATGAAGGCATTTAAAATTCATCAGTGCACCTAGGGACATAGCTCTCATCTGTCTCATTATAATGCATTTTTTCTGCCTTCCTCTGCCTTGCCAGCCCTTTCCTTATGTGAATAATTAGGTATAAATACCATCTATTGAAAGTAAGTATAAAAACCCTTCTAGCTACCTTGGGAGTCATTGCAACCTCAAGTCCACTCATTCCCATCCCTCTTCTAGACAATGGAAGATGAACTATACAATGGAATGGCCCTATTCTTACTAAGGAAAGTCACCACTGTGACTACAGAAGCTGATTTTTTTAAAACTCATTGTTGGCCTAACTACTCCCATTGAAACCACTTTTCAAAACTCTTCAGTGGGGTTCGAACAGGATTAGGGCAGGAGTGTCAAACTCATTTGGTCCCCATAGGGCAGATTTGGACTGTGGGGCCTTTTGCACCTGGAAGACACACCCACAGATATAGCCTGGGGTCTTCCCACAGTGGCACAGTGAAGGAATTAATGGTGTGACCATACGTCAAGGGATGATGTTGTTCACCCCCTGCTGCCCCCCTGCCACCTATGGGAGTTGCTGTGTCATAGCAGAGTAACAGGTGTTATGCAGTAGCAACTTTAACTCCTTGACTGCTCACACTGACAAATCAGTTCTTGCAGCTGCACTGAGAAGCCTCCATGAATCAGATCCAGAAGTAGTCTAGCATTAACTCTTTTGCTATTGGGAGCCTCAGTGAGAAAACTTGCAGTCTGGATAACCCACTCCTCCTGTTCCTCACATACACACCCATAATAAATACCTATAAGCTTTAATTTAAAAACAAGCAACTTAAAAACTTTGAATTGTAATGGAACCTCTAAATATACAAATAGCAAAGCTGAATGACTGCCTGAGCTTATAGTTAACCTAGTCCTACCTCACTGTGGCGGTCAGAATTATTTGTTCCACTCACTGAGGTACCTCTAAAATTAAGAAACAAGTTCTTTGGGCAGAGACTATTTTTTATTCTCTAACAGTTGAGCACATGTTTGGATCCTGCATAAATAATCAACAATAAGAAAAAGTGATGTGATTAAACCTCTAACAATATCTGCTTGGCCAAAACAGAAATCACTCCCTCCTCTTAAACATCCCATTTTAATCATTTCCTCCAGATGCTCAAGGGCACTCAGCTGCTAAGCCAATCTGTTGTGTGGGGAAAACTCTCTCCCTACTTTCAGTGACAATCAGTAGTGCAGAATACACTGAACAAAAGAAATTTGATGTTGCATGCCAAACAGTAAGCAATAACGCAACTGTGGTTTTATGAAACCAAATCCAAAATTATATTCAAGGGAATTAGCCACTCTCACTGGCAAGGATAAGGGTGCTTTCTCTTCCCTCTGACAACCAGTGTATCTCCATGCCTTCACAGACCAGGGGAGTGATCAACCAAATAAGTAACATGTAAACTTAATAGCCAGAATATGAATTCTCCTCCCCATTCCAAACAAATCATCAGTAAAACATGCAGCACATTCATCAGTAAAACTGGATATAGGCACTCAGAATAAGGATATCATAAAAAGAAGGACAAAACAAAAGAGTAAAAAGGGTTCTATCCACAATAAAATAAACAATTTATATTAAAAGATGTCAGGGAGCATGGGAGAGGAAAAGAGTAGAGTAAAAACAGAATTGGCTACAGTAGAGAAAAACAAAAAAGAACCAAAAACATGCTCTAGAAAAAGACTGAGAAATGAAAGAAAAACAGAAATGTAAAGAAAAAGGAAAAACTAAAAGAAAAGAAATGACAAAAAAGTCTGGCAATAGAAATTGAAAGGTGACAGACAGCTGTTCATTTATTCCTGAAAATGCACAATTTGTGAAACATATCTTTCATATGATAAGATACTGTTGGCATTAATACATTACAAAAAATTATGGTGGAGCTCCATGTATTCTGGCTGGTAAACATTTTAATGCATTTCCAGCAAATACTGGACTGGCCTGTGATACACAAATAGGTTTTATTAACTACTGTATCACTCATGTTTTATACCATTTGTATATACTAGAAGTAATCGAGGATATAAAAATTCAGAGTGAATTGGGCCCATTTTCCTCCCATAGGATAAAAAGAAAGAAGTTTGTCAGAGAATCTAATCTCTAACTCATATTAATACAAAATATAGAATAACTCAATAGTTATATATTCAGAGTGTGAAATACCTTTATTATTGTGTGGGTTGCTTTTGGAGAAATAAAGTTATTCTACATTTTATAGCAATGTGAAAGAATGAGTGAACCAGGCAGGCAGCTAGAAAAGGGAGAAGAAAAACTCTGTGAGCAAACATGTAAGACTGGAATAGATGGAAACAGAGAAGAGAAGAGAAGAGAAGAGAAGAGAAGAGAAGAGAAGAGAGTAAGGGATTGTAGATTAATTTTGAAAAGATCCATAGCTACATTCTGGCTACTGATGCTACTGCCATCATAGTAAAGAGAGACATGCACACATAAAAACACAAACATAAGACTCTTATTCTTGAGGCAAATTTTGCCACATACAGGCAAGATTGCTATTAAAAGCAATGGTAATCTTGTCTGTGTAAGGCTGGACACTGAATTAAATGATGCATTAACGGGATGAGGGATAGACACACATGAAGTAACAGAAAGACACATGAAAGTACAGCAAAAAAATAGAAACAGTGATACACATCAGCACAGAGTCTAAAACATAATATAGGCCAATAAAAGAGTAGTATAATAGCTGTGAATGAAATGCTTTAAAAGGCACATATGGTGTTATTAACTGAAGTCTCAAAAACAGAAGGCCTGACTAAATAAAAATAGAAATCCCATATCCCTTTAATTCCTGAACTCTAATTCCAACACTGCTGAGGAAACAAAAGGTTTATTAATATATGGGTAATGTGTAGCCACAAATCTTACAAAATTCATGCTTAAAATTAAGTTCAGAAACATGTAGAAATGTTTTACATAAATATTTCCTATCATCTATCACCAAAAAGCTTAATATAAAAATTTGAAATGCTTCAGGAAAGGCAACCATTTCTTGAGTGAAAATAAGTCTGTTTAATTATTACTTGCAGCTCAAGTTTAAATTTATGTTCATTACCTGTAACAAAATATTTGGCAGTATTGCACTAAAAGAAAGAACAAAACAATAATATACACTCTATTTGGAAAGTTACACTATTTTTGCTTGGCTGGCTTTTCAAATTGTGCCAAGTCTTGTGGTCCCTACACTTGCAAAAATCCTATTGAAATCACTAGGACTCCTGCGAGCATAGGGACTTCAGGATCAGTTACATTAGCCCCAGTTCAGGAGGGTAATTAAATAGGTACTTTCACAGAACTAACACGACACTTAACATTGGATACACACTCAATTACCTTGCTGAATCGGGGCCTTCCCTATCAGAATTCCAATTATGTTTTTTACTTTGTTTCTCTCTCTCTTTTTTAATTTTTCAAGGAAGATAAAGGAAAACTTTGATGATGAATAGTTTATGGTAGGATATTTTAAAGTATTCAGCAATGGCCTAACTTTCTTCTCACCAAGTCCAACTGAAGTTTTGTCCTTAATGGGACTACAGTTAGACCTGTGATGAAAACTTCTGCAAATCTTATGCTTATTGACATAAAAAATGCATAGCTGCTTCTTTGCTGGGTAATTTTTACACACATATACATACACCCACACATCCATACGCACATGCTAAGGATTCTGTACAAGGTATTTTAATGGTTCATATATTCTAAATTGACACAGTCTTACCAAAACACACCAAGATTCCTCAAAATCCATTAAAATAGTGTCTGCACGTATATATCCGATTACATCTGCAATCTGTGTTTGAGATTAATACATTCTCCTATAGCAGTCACTTACTAGAATTACTGCTGTCATCCTTGGTTCCATCGAGTGTTCCATCGGGGTGCATTTGCAAGTAGTAGCCTTGCCTGCAATATAACCTGGTCACTATACCCTTGAGCTGGGGATCTGAAAGACAAACATATTTTGTCACTAGCCTCAAAACTTTTTTTTCCCAAGAGTTATCCCTATTTCTCTCATTGTAGAAGGAAATTTGTTGAAGCAGCCTAGCTGTTTCTCAAGTCTAACTCAATACTAGTAAGCAGGATGATTCTTGATGGAGATACAGAATGAAAATGTATTTCTGAAGAATGTCACTACATCAGTTTTATGTCCTGTTTTCTACTGTGAACGTCCTTGATGGCAATTAACAGAGGTAAACAGAGCTGAGCTACTGTATGCAAACCACAGGTTTAAACAAGATTAAACCATACAAATAAATTTCCAGTTGCAATTAAAAATACTTAAAGAGCCTCATAGATAAGATTTAGAAACAGAACATTTCCAAAAACCCCACTCTTATCTCCTGTTATTAAATTATTTACTAGCCTTTATGTATTGCTGTAAGGGTCACTTGCAAGAAAAACCTTCCTTTGTTGAGTAAAATAACTTTCTTTTTATTCCCTACCTAGAGTTAAATATTTCCTTTTATAACATTTAGCAATAGTTCTAAAGTGTTTTATGGACCAAGATACAAACACAGTTCACCCACCCACCAGTGAAAAACAACCAAGTCCAGGGCAAGCCAAGGGCCTTCTTTTCTCATCGAGAGTTGAAACTATAAATAAATAGAGGATTTCAGGACAGCTGAAACTTCTTCAGGTGGAATGTAGATATGAGACAATAGTTAACAGCCTTGTTTTCATGTTAAAATTAACCTCAGAAACATGTAGAAATATTTTACATAAATACTTCCTATTATCTATCATCCAAAAAGCTTAACACAAAAATTTGAAATGCTTCAGGAAAGACAACCATTTCTAGAGTGAAAATAAGACTGTTTAATTATTACTTGCAACTCAAGTTTAAATGTATGTTCATTAGTTGAAACAAAATACTTGGCAGCATTGAACTGAAAGAAAGAGCAAAACAATAATACACACTCTATTTGAAAAGTTACACTACTTTTGCTTGACTGGCTTTCCAAATTATGCCAGTCAAGCAAAGGTTGTTTTCACTACAGGACTGCTCAAGGATCACAGAGCTTCAACTTTACAGTTCATCTAAAAAACAGTGCCACTCCATGCAACATAACAGCCTGCAGTGCTGATGGGATGAATGCTATCTCCTAAACCAACATTTCCCGCAAAAGAGCTGAGTGTTGTTAGCATTCCAACAGGAAACATGTATCCCCCTCCTCCTCATCACCATTATCAAATATCTGCCACTGAAATATGCACCAGATCCAACATGGCCAAATTAGAAAAGACAGGCTGGCAACTCATGAAGACGTAACAAATAAATTTATGTTTATTCACTGCCACAACAACAAACTAATTTTAAAATGAATACTTTCTCTTGATGACAATTAAAGCTGTATATCAAAATAGGAAGATTGAAAAAAGCAATATTTAAAGCAAACTTGTTCAACAAGTTTAGGAAGTATTTCAGGAGAAAGAAGAAAGCAAAACCTATCATATTTTGTAAAGCTGTATGTAGCTTCTATAGTCTCAAAGCCAAAATAAATATAGATCAGCTTTCAGCTGCATAAAGTAGATTTTGTAATTGATAAAATCAATATATTTTAAAATTAATTAAAAGTCAATCACTATCACAAACTATTTACAATCTTCTGTGCTGATTGGCACACATGAAATTTGGGGTGGACCATTATAACTATAATTCTGTCAGTTGTTAAGTGATTTCCATAGTTTTTAAAATATATATATACACACATTAAAACCTAGTTGTTTCTTTAAAAATAAAAGTCTGGCTATTTTAGATTATTAGCTATACATAATTACACTAGAATAAAAATAATACTGCAAGTATACACAAGTTTCTGTGAGAGTTCATGACAATAAATGAAGTAGCAATTATTTTTTGCATTACATGTTCTTGCCAAGACTCAAAGATCAAAATAATGGCTGCTACAGCAGTAAAGCATGATGCAATGCATATTAATAAATTAGAAATGCATAACTGGTGTGGGATTATGAATGCTTTGAGTGATCTTTGTAGTAATATAATGATCTGGTCTATTATTACAACAGTATGGCTCCTTCATTTGGAAGTTCATTTATAAAAATCTTAAGAGGTTATTTTACCCATCGTACACACCAGTTTGTTCTTTAAAAACAGACAAAATAACAGAAATAGAACATAATATCTTAGTATCTTGGTCAGCATGTTTAATAGAAATACTGAATTGATTGGGCAGGGGGACTCTTACCTCTCTAGGCTAGGGACAGACATTACACATAAATTGGTTTAAGTGACCAGAAACTGATTTAAACCTATAACAGAACAGATATTCAGTGCACATAAACCAGTTTGAAAATGGCTGAAACCAGTTTGAGATTAACCTGGTTAAATGTAATATCAGACTTAACTGATTTGGGTCAAACCAGTTTATGCAACGTCTGCCCCAGACCACTTCCTGGTTTAAGTTAAACCAGATTCCCCCAGCATCTTGGCATGCTCTCTGGGTTGGGCAGGCCTCTGTGCTCCAGACCTGGGCTGGCCCCAACTCTCTGCTTCCTCGCTGGAGCTCCAGCAGAGACTTGCAAGCACAGACTGTCTGGCTTCGTCCTGCTTCCCCCCTCCCCCCCACCCCACTGCTCACAGCTGAAGCAGGGATCCTTCCTTCCTCCCTCCCACAGCAGGGACCATAGCTAGCATGTGGTATGCTAGCTAATGCTGAGAGGTGTCTGTGTAAGGCAGAAGAGGACAGTGTCTTTAGGAATTTTTGGAGCGAATCAACAGGTAATGTCCCTCCTTGACATGTTCCCTTCTTTGCAAAAAGTTGTTTAAGAAGAGTGTGAACTAATGAGAAGGGCTTTTTTCTGAAGGGGTGATAAATGCTTATAATAGAGCTGATAAATGCTCTGTTATCAAGGATAGGGGGAGGAAGCCCTTCCTAATCAGAGCATCCAGCTGGGGCCTAGCCACGCCCCTCCACCTCAGCTCAGCATTATGGAAGGGAAGGGTGGGCTGATCTAGTGCCCCCTGGCTTCTAGCCTGAGCCACTGCAGGCATGTGCCTGAATTTCCTCAGTCCAGAGGGGATGTCTTCACAGTTACAAACTGGTTTAGCCTACCCAGGTTAAACTGCAAAGATTGAATCAATTCAGGCTCAGGCTTTTTGAATGCCTGTCCCTAGCCCCAGAGATGCAGATCCTTCCAGAGCATAACTGACACACACTGGCCCTTGCTACACATTGCATATGTTACATCATTAATTAGTTAATGGCATGATAAATTTAAACCAGTCACACATGCAAAGTAATTATCACACCATAAAAATGACTATCCAGATATAAAAACATGCAACCAGCTATAAAGTTAGTGCATGAAAATGTGGACCAACTCTATAGCTGGTTTCTACCCAGCTTTAATTTGAATGTGTAGCAGGGCCCACTGGCAGCAGGCAGCTGAGAGAAACCCATTCCTACATGTATTATAGATGATCTGTGGCTAAATAGTAACTTTAGTTTCTATGAATTTTAATGTGTCACCTTCCAATAAGAACTACAGTCTTTTTGGAAAAGATTAGTGAAAATAAAAAAGTGTCTGCTCAGCCTCAGGAAGTTTGAGAACTAGCCACTAATGCCTTGAATATGAAAATAAGTAATGCATTCTCTATAAAAACTAAGTAAAATCTAAGTGTGACTCAGAATTACTGATAAAAAAACTATTTATTACCTATCCCTAGGTGCATGCTATGCTTCAGGGTTGTAAAAAAATTCTCTCTCAAGTACACAACAGGTGCCAGTGCCCATTGACTCCAGTGGCTACTATTCCTCAGAGTCCCCTTCTCACCCTTCCTCTTCCCCCACTAAACAAAATGCAGAGAGGACACCAACTAAGACTGATGGAATATAGCCCATTAAGGCACACAGAAGGAAATGAAGGCAGATAACATTACCAGAGCATTGCCAACTCAAAATTTGTAATTGTTTTTCATAAAGTTCTAGCCCCTGAAGTCAGTTATTATAAGAGATACCTAGTTTCCTTTTGTGTAAAAACATTTCTAGCCCTGTCACAGAGCACGGAGGTGCCCTGCTCCTAGAGAGGGGAAACTGCCAGGGAAAGAGCCCTAGCAGGGAATAAGGACCCCAGCTGTGGGTTGCCAGGGCAACCAGGAGGTCAGCTGATGGAAAGGGACAGGGCCTGGCTCCTATATAAAGCACAGACAGGAGGCCAGAGGCAGTTTCCTGCCAGCAGCCAGAGAGGCAGGAGCTCCCTAAGCCAGGATGCGGGAAGAAGCCTGACCGCAGGTACAGCTTATGGCAGCTCTAAGAGGCTTGAGCAATGTTGTTATAGCCAGGCGGCTTATGTTTAGGTTATAGCCAAGGGGCTCGAGTTTCTGTTTCGTTTTGTTGTTACACCGGTGGTTTGGGTGAGGCTATTAGGGGTTGGAGGAGGCCTCATAGGGGACCCACAGTAGCGTGGGGAGCCCAGCGCCAGTAGGGACACAGCGTATGGGGTACATAGACCCCAGCTCCAGAGAGGAGCATTTGGGTAGCCCCAGTGTGGGCGTGGCGAGCCCCCAGAGAAGGGGCACTGTTGAGAAGCTCCAGAGCGGGCGTGGCAAGCCCCAGAGAGGGGGCACTATTGAGAAGCCCTAGGGCAAGCGTGGTGAGCCCCAGAGGAGGGGGCAACACTTGAGAAGCCCCAAAGAGGGGCCTGATTGTGATAAGGCCGAGACATAACAGCTATTCCATCGGCGAGGTGTGGACTGCGGTGTAGGGGAGGAAACGGAGCCACAGATAGCGCCCCCTGGCAGCGGGGCAGTACAAGGGAAGCCTCCTGCTAATTAACATCAATTAATTAATTAACAGCAAGGCATGGCAGGTGAGAAGGTGGGTGGTTGCCCCAGGAACAGTTGTGCGGGCCACATTTTAGCCCGGACCAGAGTGGCTACCTGTTACAAGCCCTCACAGCTAGAAACACTTATCAATAAAAACT